GTCGCTTTTCCTACAAAAGTGCTCTAATTTACAATAAAATGGACCAACAATTGAAAATACATACATTAAACACACACAAAAGTAAAGAGATCCCTAAAGAATATCTTCTCCCTCTGGATTATGACGAATCAGAAACACTAATTAAACCGCCCTAGAAATAAGTATTTACTATTAATACGTACACTTTTAAATAACACAATATTGCCGCGAAAACCAAGCTAACATTGTAAATCAAGTACAATCAAATGTCCGTTAAATGAGCGGAAAGGCATTGAAAAGCGAGATCATAACAATTGGTACTTTGATTTTGGCTGTGTTTATAGGATAGTAATAAATTTGAAAACATTACAGAACTTATCTTTTTCGTCTTCAATGAAATCTATGCTTTCCCCATATTCCTTTTCGTGTGCCGAAATTAAATAATTATTAAATTAAACTTAAAGACCTTGATCATGCCAGCTTAATTTGTATTTAGCTTAGCTAATAATTTTTTGTACGTAAATATACCTCTAATTATCCATCAGTTAAACTTTATTGCAGAGATTGGGAAACAGGTTAACCATGAAACTATGAACAGACCAAAAAAAAACAAATAAAAAACATCCAACATTATCTTAGAAATAATTCTTAAAATTATCTCAAGGAAGCGTCAGTATCAGATGCGTGATAATGTTATCTCCTGCTATTAATATCTTACTACACGCACGCTGCCTTATCTATAACCACTTATCTACCGTATGACTACACTTAAGTCATCATAATGTTTATGTTTTCGTGAAACTATAGAACTGGTTGTGACGCATACATTTTCAATTGACTACTTAGTAATATTGTAGAGACAAACTTATATTATATTAATTCGTACGTAGGTCGTATTAGGTATTCTGGGGTGTGATTCTGTAAGACTTCATTCTAAACTTCGAATCTGAATCCGCCGTAAGTAGTAGTACACTAGCGCTACACTTGCGAGTTGAACTAAATTGACAGCATCATTTTGAAAGATAAAGTATGAAATGACGTTAAAAGTGGCATTCAAAAATTTTATTTACCCGTCATTTGGACGCTCACTTCGCACTCGAACACGATTCAAAATCAAACAAATTTTATAGAATTGACGTGCTGTTTTCGAAAACAGAAAACCGGCGTGAAATATAACCAAAGAGTTGTGTTTCGCCAAATGAGTTAGGTTACCGGAGTCCCACTCCTTCCCATATCCCAATCCGTTCCCTTTCCGAAAATCTCTAAATCGCTAATCCCCAAAAGATCGACAACGCACTCGTAACTCCTCTGTCGTTGCGGGTGTCCATGGGCGACGCTGATTGCTTACCATGAGGTAATCCGTTTGCGCGTTTACCGACCTGTAACATAAAAAAAATCTACTAATAGTGTTGAGTCATTGCACCCCTTAATCACATGGGAGTGAGTACTAATACATTACTGGTGTATAACGGGGTAATGGTACTTATGATAAATAATATTTTATGAACGCAAAATTTTGTAAGGTTGAATGGATGTTTCTCTTTCTTTCATGTAAAGACTGTTGAATGGATCTGAATGAAATTTCGTATAGAGATAGAATATAATCTTTAATATCACATAGTATTTAACTTGTTAGGATTAAAAGGCTCTATGTTATGTTTTGTGATTGTCACACAGCCATTTACAATGATTTGCTTCGTTGGTTCTCGTAATTGCGACTACGCAAATGCTGTTAAGTTTGACCTCCAGTGGACAGATAAATATCTGAGTGTATGGTGCGCTTTATTGAGCTATCAAACTAGCATAAATGGGCCTCGTGAGGCCCTACGAGGATCTTCAGCCAGGGTTGCGGATGAAAGATGTACTGCGGCCCGGCCCTGAACAGGAAAAGGATCAGGGTGGTTTTTAGTCAGCAATAGTTTGATACTCTCTTACCCCATCCAGCTCAGTAAACTACTGTCCCCTATCAAAATAACAAGATAAATGTAGGCAACGATTTGCTTTCTTTTGAAACCAAAATGATTGCAACTCTAAATACACTTCGTAAAATTCCAAATTCAGTCGTTTGACACAGCAAGAACGCATACCATGTCCGAATAAGGAGTTTCCGAGCTTCGAAGTCGACATTTAAAATTAAGGTCAACCAACCAACCACGTAATTATAAAAAAATAAAACACAATTACGTTAAACACTACTAAAAATCACCAAACCGTAACGTTACGGTTAGGTGGCAGCACACGTTATCTTACATAATTATCATTGAGCGTAAACGCATCCTATCGCGTTACGGGTTTCAAACAATGGATGACATGACATGGGATCAATTGGACAGCTGACACCCTCATATCAATTTTGAAGTGATTTTTTTATAAGGACGTTTATGTCGATAACATGAAAGAGTTTTGACGCCAAGTATTTAACCACTGGTAATTATTTTATTTGTGTTACTGGTAAATATTTGATGATACGGTTCATATTTATTTTCATTTATATCTTACAATTTTATGTAATGCAAACATCGTGGCAGCCAAAAATGTCTACCACATTTAATCCACAACCTCGGCCAAAGTTGAAACTTGGAACGGTAGTAAAGTACATTTCAAAAAAATATCCCCTATCAATTAGGACTACATAATCGTTAGAAGTTTACTGCTAATAAGAATATTGTACCTTTTTTGAGGGTAAATATCAATGCAAAGTAATAATCAATGTCTGAGTGGGGCGAGAAGGAATATAAGAGTAAGAGACTCGTTAAAAATCACCCTGTTTCTTCTCCTGCTTCAAGCTAGTGCCGCGGTAAATAAGTACGGAAGTTTATTGCACTTGACATTTCAATTGTACCTTAACCTGGAGGATAAGACACTGCTTCTCGTGAATTAGAGTTTGGGTGCAAAACCTAATAAGAAGTACTTTTTTATAAGATTATAAAGGCACTAGTGAAAGAAACATATTTTCTTCTTACCTAGACTACTCGTATACTGCCTAATTATGCAAGTAAGCTTAGTTTTAAATACTCATTTCTTCTTCATGTGTGATAAGATCTCTTTTTACACAACAGTTACAGACTGATAATATGATGTAAATCAGAGCACGATAAAAAAGCAATAATTTACACTCGAGATAAGCGTTCGGTTGGAATCAGCAATGGGAATGTGACGTATCATTAATATTTAATGACGCGCCCTGGGTCAGCTCTTGTAGTGTGGGTCACCTCGAGTCGTGTCAAGCCGGCACGACACGACTGCAAAAGTGTACTTATGCGTGTATGCAGCCAACACTTTAATAAATCAGATCTTTGATGTTCTTTCTATTAATAGACCGCAGTACGAATAGTGGTGTCTACTGTCTACTACAACACGTTGAACTTGTGAAATACATTTGCTTGTATTTTTGGTCTTTTTTTTCTATTTAGGCCAAGTTTCTATTTCGGCCAAGATCAAAAATAAACTACTCCTTCAATGTAATATACAAATTATCTATTTGCTGACTGAATTTGAAAATGAAAATGACTCATACTTAGTCTTCTTCTGTTAAAAACATATAATATATAATAACTTAACAAATAATGCGAAGAAAACCTTTAGCTATAAGTAAGTACGTTCACCTAAATTTGGAAATTAATTTTATACTTCCTCTCAAATTTTCTCCAACAAACTTCGATTCATTTCGTCCATAAAATAAGTAAAGCCCTTTCGTAACTTAATAACTGTATCACACCTGTTACTTATGTGAGCAATTACGATTAAACTGTAAAAGATCTTTTTGTTTATTGCAGAAATTTCAACCTTAAATAGAGCAAGGTAAAGAGAGAATTTGAAAAACATTTCTGTAAATCTTTTTCATATAATCTAGGTAGAAAGGTAAAAGTCCAATTTTAAGAAGTGTCTGTCACAGTTGATCTACCTACTAAATTAATTAGTAATGGAGTTAATAACTATAAATGTGGCGCATTTTCTACAACTCGTTTTAACATTGGTAGTATTAACTACTTACAAACATATTAAATTGATGTGTGTCGTTACATATAACAAAATAATAAGCCTGTGGTTATGAAGCATCCAGCATAATCATATCTTATGACCAAAATTCAAAAAATAAAAATAAAAATGACCTCAAAAATAGTCGTCTACTAGTAAACAAGTCTATTAAAATGTCTAATTTATAATTGATGAAATTTATAATTTGTCTGATCAAAATTTATAAAAAAGCTATTATAGTTTTGAGATGAGTGAACTGTTAATAGTCCAATTGTAATAATAATCTCTCATCGCATGAATGCATCAAAGATTCTAAATAAATATCTACAAATTGCTAATCAAATGAATAAACATTATTAAAAAATAAATTATTCTGTGCTTTAGAATTTCCAACTAAAAACATCATTGGTCAACAAACAATATTCTAAATGCATTCGTGTTTTCCTACCACTATTGCGTGTTAGAAATTGATACAAATTGCAAAATCATGCAACTACCAATATATTCTAATAAATTGCAGTCCATTGTATTCAAATTTACTGCAGAATGTCGTATAAAGGAAAAACCAAGACGGCGTATATTTAGTTGTTCTACGATTCCTTAGTAAACAAAACTAAAAAAAACTTTCGTTGAAATAAAGTCAAAGCAAAAGTCGGCGATGGCTTCCAAGAATATCGCTTATTTATTTTTAATATCGTGTTGTGTATCGGAAATAGTAGCTGACAGCATTGCACCCGGTAGTAAAGTATTCATTAGACCATTAGAATCTATTGTGGGAATACCCAGTTCTTGAAACGTCCATTGAACATTAATTATTGGAGATTACACTCACTGTTTGTATTCTAAATTCAAAACAATTACAACTAGTATAAAACTCGAAATTGTTTATGTTTTGTTATGGACACGCTAATCATCAAAAATTCTCGCGTTCTGAGAAAGATTATTTATAATACAAAGTTTAGGTACCATGTACATTATATATTAATATCTCGAGAACCTTGACAGCATCTTTGTTTATTCAACATTCTTCTTTTCTATTTCAGGAATCTTGCCAGACAGAACAAATCGGGTGGAGGATATTTTTCTAAGATATTATACTGGGTAAGTAATATTCTAGATAAGTATGAAAAAAATAGGTCAAGAAAAATACTGAGAAATAATTTTTAACTCTTTTCTTTCTAACAAAATTATGTTTTATACGTGCAGCTGAGAGCACTAAGCTTCTTATCAGTAGATCCATAAGCTAGGAGTTCAGTCTAAAAAGATTTTAATAAATATGAGTGGTTCAAAATCGCTCATATAGATCTTGTACGGAATCTTTGAAAAAGACGCAGAATTTTGTAAATAATAGAAAAGGTCACTGACCTGTGCTTCAAACTAGCTTAACCAGCAGAATTGAACCCTCGCAAGCTTCTTAAAAAGGTACAGAAAACTCAATATCCCTTAAACCAGTGTTCTTTAGGGTTATATAGGCAAATTAGAGAACAATTGTATGGTTGTTTATCACGCGATCCTAAAAAACACACACAATATTCGCTACAACCGACGAAAACTATTAAACTCCGAAAAAGCAAGTAATTTCGATGTAGGTATTAAGATATTATTATATGTAACTATATAAATATATATTTGTACATAGAAATATGTAAAATAGAAATAAAATGAACTACTTACTTTTAGTTTTAACAAAAATTTGACAAAAATATAAGATTGATCGTCGATTGTACCATGTATTTTTTTAAATTAAAACCTCCTTTTTTGTACGTGTGGCTAGAGAGGAGAAAGTCTCCTCCTAACACAAGCACATTTTATACTATTACCCAATGTTACAATTACAACACACTCACAATAATCAAAAATATTTAATGTAATTAATTTAATTATCATTTCTATTTTTTTTATATTCACAGACAAACAGCGGCAGAGTACGTGGACATTCCTCTCAGTCAGGCTAACAAGTTATTTGAAATCAAGGGTTTTGACCAGAACAGCCCCACCGTCTTCTACATCCATGGATTCATTGAGGTTGCTCAACAGGAGAGTATCCAGGTAATGTTATTCTGTTTTATTTACATAAAGTTTGGAAGAGAATTACCTATTTGATAAGGAAGGTAGAATTACTGCACGGTTGACGCTGCCTGCGGCTGGGCAACTGTCTGCTGCATAGCATGTTTTCCCTCGGAACAACTCTTTGTGTGATTCACAAATTGTTGTTCCAGGTCTGGGTATGATGTGTATGTGAAATCGCATGTTTATAAACGCACTCACAACACAGGAGAAAATCCTAGTGTCGGGCAATGTTTTTTTAAAAAGAAAAAAGAAAGAAGAAAATTTTGGTAATGGCCAATTAATGTCCAAGAAAGAAAAAATGACAGGTACTATAGTAGATATCGTAGATAACGAAATAATCATTATTATTTAATTAGAATCTGGTGAAACATCACAAACTGAAAATGGAAATAAATGTAAAAAAGGGATTAAAAAAATCAAAAGCATAATATCTAATTATAGCATTAAAGTTTTTAGGTATATATTGCCATAAAAAAATTTTATTTTTTTCTTCCGAATAAAAATAAGTAACAAAACAGATTATTAAGTTTGCAAAATAGATATTATGTTAATACGTATCATACATTTTAAAACAAGCACAAACAACGCAAGGTTGTGCTTCGATAGCCTCTTTCGAAACATAGGCATACATTTTCCAGTTGTTTTTTCAAAGAAGCCTCAATCAGGTTATTATTACTTCACAAATCTTTCACGTTGAACACTATGGAGAAAAACATGAGGGCCACGCTAGCAGAAGATTTACCCTCAACAATAATCTGTTGGCAGTCAATAAGTGTGGGTTAAGTGTGGGAGAGCCATGCTTCGGCACGAATCGGTCGGCTCGACCGGAGTGATACTACCGCCTCACTGAAAACCGGCGTGAAGTAACCACAGCGTTCTATTTCGCCGTGTGAGTGAGGTTACCGGAGGCCCAATCCTTCCCCTCCCCCAATCCCTAATCCCTAAAAGGTCGGCAACGCACTCTTAACTCCGTTGCGGATGTCCATGGGCGGCGCTGATTGCTTACCATCAGGTAATACGTCTGCTCGTTTGCCGACCTATTACATAAAAAAATAAATACGAAACGCACCAAACTAGTACACGGAAAGCAAAATATGAAGCTAATGTAAAAAGGATCTTCCTAACTATTAGATACCTATACATCATAATAAATCAAATCTTTATGTTTCCCATACACATCTCTGTAACCACATCACTAACCCTTCAAGGCGAAGACATCTATCTTCCATTACGCTATCTCTTTCTCCGTTGCACAAATGTGAAAAAGGATTGATGACAGTGATTTAGCCTTTGTAAATATACCCACCTACCTATAGACTTATTATCTAGTAGTGATGATTTATAGTTGAGGTCTATGGATGTGTTTGAAATAGTATGTTTGTTAATGCACCCAAGACATAGGAGACATTCCTAGTGTGCGACAAAGTTTAAAAAATTAAAAAAGTATGTGTATGTATCCGTCTAACATTATGAACGCAAAAATTTATTTGTAAGTCTATACTAGTCTATACTAATGTAATAAATGCGAAAGTAACTCTGTCTGTCTGTCTATCTGTCTGTCTGTCTTTTCTTCATGCCTAAACTACTGAACCGATTTCTGTGAAATTTGGTACAGACATAGTTTAGAACTCGTGAAAGGACATAGGATAGTTTTTATACCAAAAATCTACAGGAAGTCACTATTCCACGCGAACGGAGTCGCGGGTAAAAGCTAGTAGATTAATAAATTGATGATTTACTGATGAACAAAACGGGTTTGTGTTATATTTGACATAGAGATTTTAGTCTGGATTAACACATAACCTTTTTTCTGATAATGCGAGTAAAATCGCTGACAAAAAATAGACTGTAATATGTTTAAAATTCAGCCTAATTTCTTCTTGCACATATTATCGAAGTTGTTTGCCTTGATGACACGATGTATGTATCTATTTATCAATAAATTAACATATTAAGTTTACACAAGGTTGAACAATTAGTTCTGCTTTGCATATTTGTAACCAGTTAGTTGTAAACGAATCTTAACCAAATTGGCTAATAATCCAGTTTTGCTTTCACTCAAGGGCACAACTATTTTGCTTAAGTATTAAAAAGGCCTACCCGCTACAAACGACCTCCACGAGTGAATAAGAACATATCGTAGTTGATGAATTAACTCAGTAAAAAACACCTGATTAACAAAATGTGGTTTCGAAAATATTGTCACCCGTTGTTCGGCGATTATTGGTCGTGTGGTGTTGTTTTATAGCCTACTAGCTTCTCTCGCGCGATTTCACCTACTACTCTACTCTATTTGATCGTAGCGTGATGTTTTATAGCCTATAGCACTCAGGAACATTGTAGCTACCTATCAGTGAAAGAATTTTCGCAATCCAACCAGCGGTTCCAAAGATTACCCCCTACATACAAACTTACAAATTTTACCTCTTTATAATATTAGTATAAATATTATTCAGGAACATTGTAGCTATCTATCTGTGAAAGCATATTGAATAAAGATTCTCATATAAATACAAACTTAAAAAATTTGCCTATTCATTATGACTATAGATTTCACTAAATTATATTTTTGTTTATCTTCAGGTCATGGTGAACGCCTATTTAGAAGCAAGGCCGGGTACAAACGTTATATTACTAGACTGGTCCAACATGGCACATGGATCATACTTTTTCAATGCCGCGAAAAACACCAAAAAGGTAAGGTTTTATCATTAGATCTAATAAAAAACCTCACGTGGATTGTTTATATTAAGGCTTAGTGAATAATTTTCAAGGTCACGGTTGATACAAATTAAATTTTTATAATAGTGTACCTATCATGTGAGAATCCGGTTTATATTAAGGAAAATATGAATAACATATTATCCGTTCCTATATCTCACACACATCATTGGCCTATAAATGCCCACAGCTGAGCAAGGGCCTCTTCTCACACGGAGAAGGCTTGAGCATTATTCACCACGCTTACTCAAAGAGGATTGTCGATTTTAACTTATAATTAGAAATTATAAGTCCAGGTTAAGCTTAAATTAAAACGCGAATATGCATGAGTGACGCAAAAAGTTGCTGCAATAATTAATTATTAATTAAATAGAGGTCTTCAATAGTTTTTATGTAACTTTATTTCTTATTTGAGGGGGTAAAATTATCAAATGACTTCTTTCGCCCAAGGTGAGGTAAGAGGAAGCGTCAGACTTGCTGACTAAAATCCACCTCATTCATTTTTTTGTTCCAAGCCGAGGCCACGGTACCTAATCGCACTTGCCTCGCAACCTCGGCATTATCCTATTATAACTAGCGAGATCGAAAGTACCTACAATTTTCTCAGAGTCGGTCAATTCATATTATTCCTTTTTCAGGTTGGTATAGCTGCAGCAGAACAGTTGAATAAACTAGTAGACTCAGGACTTCTCTTGGAAAAATTCCACGTGATTGGACACTCATTGGGAAGCCACGTCGCAGGTTACACAGCAAGAGAACTCAAGACTAAATACAATAAAACTATAAAAAGGTGGGTACTTAATTATCAACTGATAGATATCATGATGAGTTAAGGTTTATCAGAATAAATGTTTAATGAAGTGTGTAGTGCAAATGTTATACATGTGACCAGAGATGGGTTAAACCTGGTGACTGCCCTAGGCAAATACCTCATAAGCGCCCCTAAGTTTTTAGTTTCCACGTCTGTACGCCGCGTCTTTGCGCCAACCATGGCCACTTTGCTAGTTTGCTTTAAGGATAATACGGCTCTGTTAGTACAAGCATGTACTTAAACGATGACGTAATAGGCTAATGGTTTTCACAAGTGTTCACGTTAGGTATATACTTTTTTTCGGCCTTAAGGGTTTTAGCCTTTAGGGTCTACACTTACCTTTTGGGATTAACGTCTACCCTAGTAAAAATAATGTGATAAAAGTTGGTGCAGTGGTACTCAAGTAATACTGACTGTTCCTGGTTATTTAATTTATTAACCGAAATGAGAACCCTGAGGAACTCCAGATATCTACAACTAGCGCAAGAATCAAAGTTCTTTAGCATATATCTTTTTCTGCTATAAATAATACTTAAAACATCTACTAGAGGGACGTGTACTTCATAAGGTTTCAATTGTATGTACATGTATAATATTCCATAGCAAATGGGAGTCTCTTCGAAAAACCTTAACATTTATTTAACAAGTCATTACCTTACCGAGTTGTTAAGCATCTTAGTAAATTATTATTACCAATATTTTTAATCGATTGCTTATAAGCATTCGTGCAAGTAAATTCAATAAAATCATTAATTGTTATTCAATCGCCAATTTCAATTGTAAATTTTGAGTTGGTATCGTTAATTTATGTTAAATTGATGTGAAGCATCACCTAAATGCTGTCAAACGCTTTATATAAAACAATACAAACAATTACCCTGGTCATAATCAATATATTTGTGTTAAAACATTTCAGATTAACGGCCCTCGATCCCGCTTTTCCAGCGTTTTATCCTGATGGCGTAGTGATGGAACATGTTAATGCAAAAGACGCAGAATTTGTAGATGTAATACATACTGACGCTGGTGGTTACGGTGCACCGGTAAGAACTGGAACAGCTGACTTCTGGCCGAACGGAGGCAAAAGCATACAGCCTGGCTGCCCCCGATTCGCCCCCATACCTCTCTCCGATGATAGTAAGTTCTTGCTTAAAAATACGCTAATTATGCTTAGCATAATATTTTGTTGATTAAAATCATGTATCGTCAAGCATTATCATTGATTCCTGAAGAAAGACATTAATTTGGAATTCTTAAAATTTAAATGATAATAATTTATAGTCGAGTAAAGGCGATTGTGATTTATCGAAGGTACATACAACATAATATGCTTGTGGTAGCAAATAAGTTTTGGCTTTCCTCAATGTGAAATAACCTAAATGTTCTTTTTTCAATAGCTTTCAATGTGTTTTATGTTAGAATTTATATTAAAATTGAATTATAAATAATGTTCAGCTACAACTGGTAACACTGGGAGACGAGCCTTTCGTTGTCGGAAACCTAAGATGAGAGCTGCTAGTATGTAGACTTTTGTAATTATTGTCATTATTGGTATTGGAAATCTGTGCTCGTCTAATGCTACGCTTAAAAATTTAATGTAGGGTTTCAGCGGGAGAAAAAATCACAACTATAACACTTAATTATTATTAAGTAGGTAATTGTATGATATAAGACCATGAGTTCACATTTTATTGGTTAGCGCAATATTTCAACCCACACCGATCATTTCGCAATCATCTATCACCAAAATTCACTTCCATCATACCTTGATCCTACTTCCATTTATATCATTTTCACACATTATCATCATATTTTATTACCCTTACAGTCTCTCTATTATTTATTTTCTTATTTACTATGTATTATTATATTATTATCACAGGTGGTTCCTGCTACAGTTTAAGCTACAATCGATGAGTTAGTTATGATTCGATCATTTGTTATTTTTTAGGCACAAGCAATTTTATGCACAACGCTGCGAGGTTTTCAATTTACAAATTAAATAATGACCATATCACAAATCACTCGCTTCATTAAATTCATTACAGCCATCTAATTCCTAATCCTTATGCACTTTCATTTTTCGCATTCCTGGCAAAGCATATCAACCCTAAACCAATTCACTTGCATTAATCCTTAACATAATTTGCGGGACGCATATATTGTATGTACATATATGTACATGTACAAGGTTCAAGTTTTAGTGTTCTTAGTACATGTTGTGTTAAACATAAATTTGTTGAATTCCCCAGATCTATGCAGTCATTGGAGATCATGGCGGTTTTACGCAGAATCAGTGAGAAATCCTGAAGCATTCCCCGCCTCTCCTGCCGAATCTTACCATAAATTCAAAGAAAACCCAAATCCCGAAGAAGGAATGGTGTATATGGGTTATAGCTGTGATAATAAGTAAGTCAATAGTCTCGTTATTTTTTACTAGCTACTCCCGCAAAGTTTCACCTGCTGATCGGCTCCTACAGATTGAAACATAACGTCTTACCTTACTCGATAAATGGACTAACAAACACAAAAAGAATTGTTCAATTCGAACCAGTCGTTCCGTAGATTATCGCGTATCAAACTATACAGCTGTATAATATTAGTACCTATAGATTTTAGTGACACAAGCAATATTTTGAGTTTATTACAATTGCAATAGACGCTTGGAGGTTGTTCTAACGACTCCTGTGTTGTTAGAATCCAATTTTTTAGTTTCATCGGTACCCCTTTCTCCTCCTTAGTTAAATAATACCGATACTCACATTCTCGTCAAACCGTTAGTCAATAAACTTCTGTCTTTTAAACAAATATTTATAAGATGAACGGAAACAAAATATATTTACAATGGGGGTGGTTAACTGTGAAAAGTTCTAGACTTTACGCTATTTAAGAGACGTTTTCGAAATACTAAAATTACCCCAATAAAGCTTACAAACATCATTCGAATATAATACTCGATAATAGTTATGTGCCACCAAGATAATTATTCCCATAGGAAACTGTACCTCGCAAATATCGTTTTATTTGTTCTTCTACCAAACGTAATAGACAATTTATATGCGTATTCGTATACGTCGGAAGTTAACTCGTAAATCTGCATACTGAGAACGTTTGCTATGGTAATATTTACGGCCGTCCACGATCCACGGTAAACGTGTGGTGTACTCAATCTGAGTGACCTAAATAATAAGGAAAAGTAAGACAAAAAATAGACAAGTGTGTATCAAATTCATCACTATACAGTCTATGTTATGCTTAGATCTTTAAAACTGAGTTACATGTATATAATTATGATGTAGTTGTTTTTAGTAGCATTAGTAATATTCAACAATTTAGGTGTATAATTTAAAAACCTTAGTGGTTTTCGGACTAAACAGAGGTATAGGAGCTAAATTTGCGTTACCGACCGGGGATTTGAATATTTTTTTAGTAAGGTTATGAGAAGTTGCTTACTCAGTTAAACACAGTACAAACGTTGTCTCAGGCCAATTTCATGTCTCAGTTTGGCCATGCTGGACCATTCGTACCGCAATGACTCTACCACATGTTTTACCTGATGTTAAGCAATCAGTGCCTCCCATAGACACCCGAAACAACAGGAAAGCTACGAGTACGTTGCTGCCCTTTTGGGAATTATGGTTTTGAGGATTTAGGGATTGGAGGAGGGATTGGGCTTCCGGTAACCTCACTGACACGGCAAAACGCAACGCTGTAGTTGTTTCACGTCGGTTTTCTGTGAGGCAATGGTATCACTCCGGTCGAGCCGACCCATTTATGCTGTAGAACGGCTCTTCCACACTTATACTACGTGTGACAATTTTAATAATGTATTGTACGTTTTTGCTTTTTCAGAGCCGAAGGATCTTATTACTTAACGACAAACTCTCAGACACCATTTGGAAAAGGAATGGAAGGGCTATACCCAAAAAGCAAGAGTAATTCCATTAAGAAATAGCTTATTACTAGGATGGGTAATTTCTTTCCTTTCATGTCGAAAACAGAGTTTAATAATAATACTTAATGTTTAGTATGTACAGTAATAATTGTAGTTTAAAAATGTGAAGTGTTTGCAACAACTGAAAATCACGAAACATGTCTCTCTTTAGAACTTGTACCCATTTGTTAAAGTTTCAAGAATAGAAAAACTTCAGATGTGATTTTATAGCTCATACATAAATATTTTACCGATAGAGTGTTACCTAAATTTGAAAATAATGAATTATTATTTATATTCCGGCGTGGAAAACCTGTTATTGCATTCATGATATAGGAATTTTCTACAATATAGTATTAATTTTAATTAAATCACAAAATGATATTATTCGAAAAATTTTACTTCATTTTTTTTTTTACTTTTTAATTGTACTTCATTGTTTTTTTTCACACATCACACCCACACCTAGAAAAACAATTTGTACGTTACACAAATATTTGTTAAATGTGGAAAAATATAACCCAAGTCTTCACCTAACCAGTTGTTCTAATTAATTTCAAAAAAGTTATGTATAATGTAATGTACATTTAAGGACGTATTGAATGAAAGATTATCTCGTTTAAAATATTTCAAACTGAAAATGTTAAAATTAAGTAGGATTTTTTAAAAGCCAGGTCTTTTTCAAATTGGACACGGTGAATGTTTAAAAAAATTGTAGATTGTCGATTGATAGCGCTTGTAAATTGTAGATACTTTAACATTTTAAGTACGCAAATTGACTACTTAATCAGAACGAGTTAAAATAATTTTATATAAAATTGGTCATGAAATTTTGTACCTACCTATCGTATTACACCGACCTGTTACATCATTTGATGTATAGTTTAATGTTTTATAAAACTTATATATTAAAGTTACATTTTACCCGCACTGCTTCCCAATTAGGATCCTTGAATTAGTCAAAATTTTAATAATTTCGGATTATAATGCAGTAAAATATAAAAAAATACAAGATTAAGGTACTTAATATACTTAGTTTATTTTCAAGTATAAGTATGCTGTTCTGAAGCAAATTAGGTAAGTCAAGTATTGTTACTTGTTAACAGCAGCATTTTTTTTTTCAAAAAAGTGTCGTTGGAAAATTATATAATTAACAGTGTAACAACTTTCTAAATTAGTACCTACCATATTTTCAGAATATTTACAAAAAAAAATCAATAAAATGTTTGATAGAATGCAAACAAGATAATATAATAAAAAAAACCTTTTTATTTTTATTTTTTAATACATTATGTGACCTTATTTGTGTGTTATACTGTGATAATAAAGTTGCATAGTTATTTTGTATGCAACAATACAAATATAAATATCGATTCAGTAGAGAGACAGTTACTATAGTTTGAATACTGAACCGACTAATCTTTTCAAAAGATATATACTAGCTACTCCCGCGCGGTCTTACCCGCTGTGATGTTTTATAGCCTATAGCACTCAGAAATATTGTAGCTATCTATCAGTGAAAGAATTTTGGCAATCCGACCAGCGGTTCCAAAGATTACCCCCTACATACAAACTTACAAATTTTACCTCTTTATAATATTAGTATAAATATAGATGAATAATTGTTTTATCTACGCATTAAAATAACTTTTTCAACAATTAAACCTACATTTTCAGATATTTTTTTCTAATAAGTAGGTACTTACCTAAATTTTAGACAATTTTTATGAAGAAAATGTCAAAGCAGTCTATGGTATTATTTATATTTATATAGATAATTTGAATGTATTGCTTTATATAAAATATATTAAGAAAGTTTTGATGATCTGTAAAACTTCTACAGTAATAGAAAAACAACATTATCTTATTTTTATCATTTATTTTTTCATCTTTATTTTAATTAAAAATATGGTTGACAATGAATATTATATACCTTTACATAAATAATTTAATTAAAATACTCAATCAAATTTCTGTGTATTGTTTTATAGTTTCACATTATAATTATAATGTCTTTTTTATTCTCAGTAATTTAAAAATATATTATTATAACATAATACATTTTTATTACAAAAAATATACGTATTATAAACATTAACGTTATATAAAAATAGAGGTAAATAAATCCTAACAGAAATAGAGCGAATTCAATCGTATAATTATAGATCAGTATTTCTATTTATTTTATTATACAATAATTATATTTATATTTATGTATTAATGTTTGGTTGAAAATCTATGGAGCACTTACAATGTAATTATACATTTTAATATGTAGTAACGCACAAGTGTTGATAAAATTATATATTATAAGATTGAATAAGATTGCATCGAATATAAATAGAACTATAGAAATGTAATTGTAATGTATCATCACAATAATTGATTAGTGTTCAATCGGTACTTAAGGGAACAATTTTAATTTTATGGCATGACATGTACAATATAATTCATCTTGTTGTTAATTTGACGGCTGTTTTTAATAATAAAAATAAAATTAAATAATAATACCTCTATTTTTTACGATACATATGTTTTTTCCCACCTTCATTCAGGTCATAAGTATAATAAATTCTAATTATTCATCATGATATATTCTATTATATATCATCGATAATGGGTTTATTACCCATGTTTCTCGTTTGCTATTCCATTGCTTGCTTGACGATTTCACTGAACAGGCGTTTTATTTTTACTTTTTACTACTTTATGTTTTACTTTGGTTTTACAGTTGTTACATCAAAGGGTGGAAAAAGACGATCAAGTCTTCGTTTTGCATCATTGATGACTAAGTACATAGAATACGCTACGACACCATACATTATAATTCTGAAATGATAAAATAATATTTTTTACTAATACTGACAAGCTATGAACAAAAAGGATAGGTAAATTTATATCAGCACAGAGTTAAGTGCCTCGAAGCCAAAATCCGATTAAAAACAATTGAAATTATACTTTATTTCCTCAGAGTACTGCACACATTATAATGAAGATTTAAAAATACTCGAGCTATTATATAAGTGCGCTATGGTGGGCTTCGATCTTACTTCCGAATAAATTGATGTCACAGAAAAAAAAAACCATAAAATTTGCTTACCCTATCATGCACCCCATCTTGTTGAACTGCTATTAAACTCTAATCTGTGCTGAGCATATGTGATATAAATACATGTCGACTATTATAAACGTACGTACACACTTGACTTCGCAAACAGAAGCTACAAGTGCTCGCTCTGTAATCGAATATTCGAAAAGCAAGCAAAAGATCGCATAAATAATATAACAACCCCTTAAGTATACCTACTAATAAACACCAGAAACATATCCAGAATTCCACCTTTACTAAAAAAAATACAATAAAGCGAAAACATTATCACCGCTTACTGTATTATTAAGCTAGCAGCCCAAATCGGATAGAAGTCAGTATTTTAGCTTATTAAACGCGGTCGTTTACAAATATAATACAATTTCAACAAATCATTATGATCATAGCCTCCTTTGACCTACGTGTTGAACGACAGATAGTCACTTGTACTCAATGGTAATATTGGTTATTAATTGTGGGATAGTATTGTGTAAGCACTATTGAGTGATACCACGCCCTCACAGAATACTGGCTTGAAATAACTACAGCGTTGTATCTCATCGTATGAGTCAGGTTACCACAGGTCCAATCCCTAAACCTCTGAAACCTCTAAAGGTAATAAGGTAATCCCCAAAAGGTATCACTTACAACTGTTCTGAAGTGACGGGTCCCCATCGGCAGCGCCGATTGTTTACCATCATACCCGCACATCTGTTCAGGTCAGAAACAGAGAAAATAATGTTTGTGGTGCTACATTCTGATTCCAATAAATAATTATCTAAAAAAATATAAAAGCTAAATAGCATACTACAAACTTGGCCTTAGATTTCTAAACAAACACAACCACATTGTGTCTAAACAATAATAGGTACGTAATAACAATTCTATTCTCTTTGTGAACCTGTTTGTTTGAAATCGAATAACTGTTCCTTTTAATTTTAATCTCCAAATAATAACACAATTGTATAACGACGTCGATGATCTTTTTTGAAGAGGAATGACCCCTTAGTGTCACAATATGGAATAGCATTCTCTTACTGATTAAAAATCACCCGGTTCACGGTTCTCTTGCTCAGAATCGGGCCTCGTTACCTTAACTTAACCTTTTAACCTTGGCCGGTCTTGCAATGGCCTCGATATTTAAATATCCATTTCTAAAACTTGTTTGAGCTCCATTTTCCTCCACCTACACCATCCAAAGTGCATATAGCCCTAGGGTCTGCGCTTGACCTTAGTCCGATCATGTGAGACTGTCCCCTTATTTGACTAAGAGAAAAGATCTGTATTTACGAACTCACTTCTTGTGCACTATAATAACTTATGGGTATTCTATGCCTGTGAGCTATTCTTTTGGGATTTTTTTATTCACGATCTTCTACTACTAAATGTCTGGCTACTCCAGAACCAGACCCGAGCGTACGGCGCATAGCGTTCTGCGCGCGCCTCAAAGAGCCAATGGACCACCACAGACGGGGCCCTATAGGGCTAATGTTCAGCCGGGGTTGCGGGTTAAGCGCAATGAGTCACCGCGGCCTTGGGCCAGAGCAGGAGAAGGAACGGGGGGGTTTTCGGTCAGTAAGAGTCTGACACTCTCTCTCGCCTAAACCTGGGCGGGAGAAGTCATTTGATGATTTTCCCCTGACAAGAAAGGGGGTTGTTTACAGGCTAGCTTGTAATTATAACATAGCGTAGTATTAATAGATCGAGCTCAATGGCGTGCAATTGCAGAGGTATATGACCAGCCGGGAAATGGGCTGATAAACACGACGATAGCAGAAATATTAATCAACTAAATTGACTGTCTGTTTATTTATGTTGAATTATCCATTATTACCGCTAGGGCTGATTTTTCAATAGTCAGATAAAAGTTATCTGGGGCATAATTATGATACTTTCGCGTCATAATATTCGTATAAGACAGTGGCAGCAACAATTTTCTCTTTAAAAAAACCTCAGATAGCACATTTATCTGACTAGTGAAAAATCAGCCCTTAATTATGGTACTTATCAAATTTTAATTTCAGGTTTGAAAACATTTTATGTACTTTAAAAATGAATAAATGTAACTATAACAATTCATTGAATTATGATAGGTAACTTAGTTATATAAAAAAACTGAAACAACAAATGAAATTTCGATTTATTTCTTATTATTATAATTTATTTCATAATTTCAGACAAAAGATATGGATATAAGTCTTTTTAGCACAAAAACAAAATACAGAACTACGTCACTTATGTTATAAAATCTAGAATTTCTTTTGAATTTCAAATATTATTTTTAAAAACTTGCAACGGTAGTATCACCTGTTTTACCTGAATTTAC